CAGTCCAATGGGCAACCACAGTTGCTAAGAGACCATCTTGACCTTTCCCGGCTTCCACTCAGGTACCAGCTCCAAAGAGCCTGCACGGATGAGCTCATGGCAACACGCAGAGATTTGGCACCCACGTGGGTTGCGGGGGGAACCGAAACATTCCTCCCTCGGCCCCACCGAAGCTGAGAAATGCAGATGCCCCCACCTCAGATGGGATGATCCCTCATCTCTACCTACCGGATAATGAATGATCGGTTCCTGAGAGCCGAGAAAAGGATGTATAAAACAACCGGCAGCAGGATTTTCTCTAGCAATGCTTCCTAACCTCATATCCCCATGACATTCTTGGACTGCGGCTCCCATAAATCCTAACCAGTACAGCTAGTGGTCAAGGCTTCTGGGAGTTGCAGTGCAGGAACGTCTGGGGGACCCAAGACTGGGAACCACTGCACGATAGTTGTGTTTACAGATGTAGATCCATCCTTCCACTGCAAAGAAAGAAGTGTGATTACTCTGTATTTTAGTTTAGCTACTGTTCTCAAGCCACAGGTGGAAATTACACGGCTCCGCGGTCTAAAACCAACAGCTTTGGAAAGTTAATTTGGGGGGGGGGGCTGAAGCTCATGAACTCCCCTAGCAAGCATGGCCTCTGGCAATGGGACTTTGGGAGTGGATAATGTCAAGAAACTAATTTTACCCCGTGTCACTGCATTTGGGAATCTAAAGTGTTCCCTGTTCCGTAGACTGGGCTGCCTTGCTTTGAATGCTTTCTAATAGCCACTAATTGACCCTTCTACGCCGACTCCCTCTAACTCATCCCAGATGCTTAATTGTTCAAATTAACGTAACCCAAATGCTTTAATTTGTTGAGGACAAGACATTTTGGCGATCACTCACTCATAGGGTCAGCATAAGTCAGAGGCGACCGGATGGCATGTAACACCACCAAATGCTTTGATTTGTACTCATACACTTTCTGACCTACAAACTGGCTAAGTTTGCATGGAATAAGATTCCAAATCCCCCCCCCAATACAGGAGTTTAAATTAGAGAATTACTTTGATCGGTACTGTCTACACCGGCAGTTTGGCCTAATAGATGTGCTGGATTTGAATGCACTAGCTCTCTGACCTTTGGTTATTAATCTGTACTGGGTTTTAATCTGAACTTTCAAAATGTGTTATCCAAGGTGATGAACCTTTGGGGGGGATTTTCAGCACTTTGGACAGTTCCTTAATGTTCCGATTAAAACCCAGCATGAATTCACTACGCCCATGTCATTGGAGTACATTAGCTGCCTGGGGCTTCTGACAGTTGTCATCCAAAACAGCTGACAGCCCAAAGGCTGAGCATGATCAGTTTGATCAAAAACATCTTAGTGTTTCAGATAGAACTATTTCCTAGTCCAATCTGGAGCCTTGAGGGCTCAATCCTGGGCATTTCAGCAGGCAAAACATGTATTTCACCACTAAGCTATGGCTCCTTTCTACAGGATCACCTTTTCAGAATGAAAACAAGTCATCTTTAAATTCAATGAAGTCAATAACAAACACGGTCTAAAAATGAATGTTACGAAAACCAAGTTCATGGTAATCTGTAAAAAGCAAGGAGCCCAAAGGATACGGTCGAAAATTCAAAATGAAAATAGGGAACTTACTGACAAAGTCTTTGGAACTTGGTTCAATGAACAGTGGGATCATATCCATGCCATAAAAGACATGATGGGATGGCGTGGAGCAGTTTCATTGAGATGGAGAATGTAATGACCTCATAGGCCCCTTTCAACTTAATTATTCTATGATTATATAAACAAAACCTTCAAATGGTTTTGATATTTATTTATTTTTTGTTGGATTTCTACCCTACCCATCTAGACCAAGGGTGATAATGTGCAGGGTGTTGTGCCATGTATTTCCACTTCCACTGTATGCCCCACTTTACAATGAACAACCCCAGAGAAAAGTTCCTGGGTAACATTTTGGCTGCTCTACAACAATCTACATTTATTCAAATACAGGCATGTCATCTTCTTCTGGTTGCTGCACAATGGTGGAGAGCAGGGTTTAACTTAACTGGGGCTTAGTTGGGGGGTATAGCTTATATTATGAGCATCCTGGGAAAAAAATCATACTAGGGCTTATTTTCAGGTTAGGTCTTATTTTTGGGGAAACAGGGTAGATGGGTGCTGTTCATGAGAGCTCTCTAGCAAAGACATCTAAGCATCCCACCAAATTATTGATTTGTTTGTTTAAAGTATTTTTTTATCCCTTCTCCTTAAAAAGAACCCAAGGCGGCTTACATCTGTTAAAGAAAAGATATTTAAAAGCTAAAAAGGTAGGTATGCAAATATTAAGGGATTTAAACAAATGTTACATTAATTTATTACATTATAAGTCCCAGGCTTCTGTTGGATCGAGCTGTTCACAGTACAATTGTTCTCATACGGCTATAACTGTGCAGGAGAGATGTCCTGTCTTGGAAAATGGAAGTCTTAACCTTCCTGTTTCTGTGTTGATTGCCCAAAGCCTGAACCGGTCAAAAGCCAAAATCTTGCTCATTTTCACTGTGAACTATGGTCCGTGATTGTCTTTTTTTCTCTTGGCATTTGGACATTCACCACTCTCTTGTACATGTAGAAGCTCCATTGCTTTCAATGGGATGATCTTTAGCTTGCGGAACTGCAAGCCAGAGAAAACATGGAATGCTATGCCTGTAAAGAGGTTACACTCCCATGTTTCTGAAGAGGATTCTGCCTCAATTCATACAAACCAGTAACCTTCACATCTAGTGGTCAATGAAGGTGGTCAAGCTGAAAAAGATGGACTAGCCAGCGGTCACCAAGTAAATTTCACAGATCAATGGGAACTGATAGCTAGGTCACTCAAGTCCAAGGCTCTCATTGAGTGGTTCCCAATTTTGGATCCCCAGATGTTTTTGAACTAAAACTCCCAGAAGCCTTCACCACTAGCTGTGCTGGCCAGGATTCCTGGGAGTTGCAGTCCAAGAACATCTGGAGACCCAAGGTTGGGAACCACTGATCTAAGCATGACATTGCATTGACTCTCCATCGTATCAACTGCAACATCTGTTTTAAGTAAAACAAACTCCTTTTTATTTCCCTTTCCCCTAAACTGGTGGTTTCCAAATCTGGGCAACCCAGGTGTTCTTAAACTGCAACTCCCAGAATCCCAGCGGTGAGGGCAGTCCAAGAACACCTGGGTTGGCCAAGGTTGGAAACCGCTGTCTTCAATGGTGCTTCAATCATTGGGTATGACTGGGGGACAGTCTTCAAATCTCTGTGAATACCGCCTCCCCCATCCAGAGCCGCACTGCTGGCTGAGCCATCGTGGGTGAGAGTTTCTGGACCTCCAGGCTGTCCAAACTCCTGAAATGAGATTGTATTACAACAGAGGAGCCGGGAGCGAAACACTGATCTGGCGTTGGCTACACCTGTTCTACCAAACCTCCTGAGAGTGGAGTTCCTGCCACTTGCCTGGCAAATAGTTCAGTCTCTCCCAACCCCTAAGTTCAGTGCTTCAATCATTGGACATGTCCGGGGTGGAGTCTTCAAATCTCTGTGAGCGCCACCTCCCCCATCCAGAGCCACACTGCTGGCTGAGCCATCATGGATGAGAGTTTCTGGACCTCCAGGCTGTCTGAACTCCTGAAATGAGATTTTATTACAACAGAGGAGCCGGGAGCGGAACACGGATCCGACGTTGGCTACATCCATTCTACCAAACCTCCTGAGAGTGGAGTTCTTGCCACTTGCCTGGCAAATAGTTCAGTCTCTCCCAACCCCTAAGTTTCTGCCATGGGGATTCCCAGTACAAGTATAGGACTGTGCTGTAAATTCTCCTCTAAAAAGGTAAAGGTTCCCCTTGACAAAAAATTCTCCTCTAAATATCTCATCTAATAATACTTGCTCTAGCAAGTGGAATGAAGTGTGTGTGTATACCGGTGAGCAGAGAGATCCATTCCATTGCATTGCATTGCATTTCTGCCTCCAAAAAAAAGACGTACAAAAAAGAAGTCAGATCCCGAATTTATTATATTGGGGTGAAACACTGTAGCTCCTGGAATAGATTCTGTACATTGGCTGATAGATTCTGGAAGTTGTAGTATAATTTTTGGGTGGGTGGGCTTTCCTAACTGTGCAAGAAAGAAACCATTTATTCTGTATAAGGAAAAAAAAAACAAGGGCAAATTGTATTGTGGATTAATGCCAGTGTAATTGCACAAACCACTGCAATGAGCTGCCACGAATCCAGGAGTTTCTGGTGGCACTCCTAGCCATGGACCAAATTTGACAAGCGCTATGTTCTGCTTTCCTGGACTAGCAATTTGAGTGGTGACACATTAACTGGGGCAATTCAATGCTGTGATTTACAATTACACTTGCAACAGCTGTAAGTCCACCATAGGAATCGGGTCAATAATTTTTAAGAACAGGGAGGCAGAACAATGAACTCTCCTCTTTCCTTAGAAACCCAGCCTGTTTTAATTTAATGTACACATCACCTTTCTGCCAAAACAAATAATGTCATTCGGGATGACTATGAACAGCAAAATTATGATCTGCTCCAGAGAAAAGAGAACTGTAAGGCCGTTCCTGGATTCGCGCTGCCATCTGCTGGATTCAGAGCCAAAATATCAGTCTCCTGCAGCAAAGCGAGAATTACCGTCAAGTTGGAACTGACTTCTAGCAACCCTAAGAGAGCTTTCAAGGTTAAGTGAGAAATTTAAGGAGTGGTTTTACCAGTTCCACTCCCCCAGTGAGCTTCCATGGCTGAGTGGGGATTCGAACCCTGTTCTCCAGAGTCCTAGTCCGTCACTCTATCTGCTACACCACAGAAAGAATCCCTAGAATTAGGAACTGAAAAGTAACAGAGAGAAGCATGATTTATTTCTGTTGCAGAAAACGTGCATGATTCCACTGGGCGGGAGGAGAAGCTGGTGGGACAAGGACAACTGGGTGACAGAATATTATTTAAAAAAAGTCACGTGGGAGGAGAAGCTGGTGGGACAAGAACAACTGGGTGACAGAATATTATCAAAAAAAAGTCACCTCCGTCGAGGTCATTTAAATAGGCAGAGTTGTTAAAATAACAGAGATAAAATAGCCATTTTGAAGGCTTTTTTAAAAAATGGGCTGATCCAAGTGCAACCCATCCATTGCACATGCCCCCCCCGCGCTCCGGCGTCCCCAAATTGAGCCCCTGCTGCAAGTAAAAAGAGAGCAGGAGCCAGTTGCAAAATCAAAATGCACTGTTATCATCTTCACAGTATCCTGTAAAAAGTGGCTCTGCCCGGATCCCGCGCCTGCAACAGAGAAGAAGGAAAGGAAAGCTAGAAGCTCGTATTCCATTATGCATTTTTTTAAAAAAGGTCTGCTTTGTAAATATATCGCTATCTCAGTGCTTTAGAATGCAACAGACAGAATCCTGTTAGCCTAAATTATGCCCTGCAACTCCAGTGATGTCATCAGTCCCTGCCTCCCATTCACCACTGTCAGGTCTCTAGGGATCCCCTTCATCCCAGGAAGCCTTTGGGAACCACAGAACAGGGTGGAGAATGATTTAAAGCTAGTTAAAAAAAACCATTTCTGGTCCTGTGGGAGAGCTGGGATTGGGGGCAACAATTGTCCAGCTTTAAATAATTCCTCACCCTGTTTGGCAGTTCCTGGCATCTTCGTGGGATGAAAGGGACCTCTAGAGATGTCCAAAACCTTAAAGAGCGTGTGTGGATGTAGTTTTGAATAACAAAGGACAGGGAACATCTATCACATTGTACCTGTATATCTATTATATCTATATATTGTATTTATTGTATTTATTGTTGTAAGCTGCCCAGAGACCTTTGGGTAGTGTGGGCAGCATATACCGTATTTTTCGCTCCATAAGACGCACCTTTCCATAAGACGCACCAATTTTTTAGGAGAAGAAAACAGGAAAATATAATCTGTTTTCTTCGCTCCATAAGACGCACAGACTTTCCACACACACCCCCGTTTTGTGGGGAAAAGGTGTGTCTTATGGTGCGAAAAATACGGTAAGTTAAATGAATAAATATAAATATCTATAGCTAAGCTATTTGGATAGCTCAATAGTTTAGCTGTGGGAGTTCAATTCTCCCATGGTGTGCCTCCAGAGAAAAGAGCCAGCCTGAGTAGCCTTGGGCCAGCTGCACAGTCCCAGGGCGCCCCCTAGAGGAAGGGAATGGGAAGCCAGAGTATTCCCCACCTAGAAAACATTGAAAAGGGTCACCGTAAGCCAGAATCGACTTGATGACGCATGATGATGATTATTAGGTATTGGCAGACTGTCACAGACTTCTGGAAACATCTGTAGACATCACGGTCCTTGTGTCCAGTCCAAGGAGTGACCAGGAGGGTCACAAAAAGTATAATCACCTGAGTAGGGTGCATCGGAAGTCTCTTAGCCTCGTGTATGCATCTTGCAGGCTCCTAACCGTTTGGTTGCTCCATAATCTCTCAGCTACAGCTCCGGCTCTAGGCCTGAAAGAAATGCAAGCCACGTTATTTAGTGTATATGAGGACTATACAGCGCACATCCTTAAGAGTATTCCAAATAAAAAGATGATTACTCTTAGTGCATGTACTGGATTTGAAATTTTTTTTTTACATTAGCTATTAAAGACTTCCCACAAAATAGATTTAAAATATCTAAAACTGAATAGATCTCATGTTAAAATAATCCGGAACACTGCCTTCTTAAGTAAATTGACATATTATCACAGGATGTAAAGGTACACTTCAATTTCATAAGCAATTAGCAATATCTGTGGGGAGATCAGAAAGTAAGAAATGGACCATATCCTTTTCCGTTTTATTAGCTGTGGCAGAAATGTGTATTTTTTTTTTAAAAAATAGAATTTGAAACTTTTTTAAAAAATTTAATATACCAATTTAAATACAAGATGCTTCAGTATGAAAACACCACCCTTAGTCATCAAAATAGAAAAAGTATTTATATTATTTAAAATATTTTCAGGCTGTCTTTCGTGGTAGAAAATTCCTCTCACAGTGGGACTCCCAATAGAATGGAACAATAAACATCAGGATCAAAGGAAATTTTAATAATAAGTAATAACCAGAGCTTGGGAATGTGAATTTTACTGGTAATATGTTAATATTAGATCATTAATGTGCCCCCTTCGTCCTGCAGACGAATAACACGGCAAAAGAAACTTACAAAAGACAGCATGCCCTCAGATGCTTCCATTCAAGCCAACAGTCAATTCATTAATTCATTTGTGGCAACATTTAATTTTTTAAAAATAATTAATTACCAGAAGTATCCACTAAAAATTAAAGAAATGAGAAGTGGTAAGTGTCATTCAAAACAAAAAAAATTCTTGGTATTTAACAATGAAAGTAGCAAATGTCAAAGTCCTTGTAAACAATTTTAAACCATCTGGGGCAATAAATTATTTTTAATGTATTATTTCTAAGCTCTGTTAATGATTAATACTACCATCTGGCCACATAATAGGTCATAGGCAAGGCCCAACAAAGCAGCATTTGGTTACAAGCTAAATATTTATTTATTCACCATGTTAATATTTATTCCCGTACAGCTGAAGACAGAGCACCTTCCCCCAGTCTTATCTTCAGAACAACCCTCGTGGTGCTGGCTAGGTTAAAAGTGATGGCCTGCCCCAGTGTCATCCAGTGGAGTAGATGTTCAACCACATCACCACAATGACTCTGTGTTTTTGGGAGAGGCGGATGCTACTCTGGCTGGGAATGCTAGGCTTTGAGTCCAATATGCCTGGAGGAAATCAGGTTGGGCTGCTGAATTCACCCCAGTCAGCAGAGGTTTGATAGATCTCTGCTCGCCCTCTGGAGATCATAGAATCCTAGAATGATTGAGTTGGAAGGGGGCTCGGAGACCATTAAGTCCAACCCCCTGCTCAGTGCAGCAATCCAAATCAAAGCAGAGAGGACAGAGGGCTGACTAACTTGAATAACTAGAAGTGCCTGTGATTGAACCTGAGATCTTGGGCATGAAAACCAGACGCTCCATCACTAACCTAGGCATCCATTCTTCCACTGCTCTGTCCTAGTTCTGATCACTAGAGCTGCTCCATCTTCACCCTGGATAAACTTGGAAGAGAAAGGAGCTCAAGACCTACTCTTTCACAACAAGGAGCAGCTGGATTAGCGTAGCAACCAACGCTCTTACCAGAGTCTTGGGGTCAAGTTCGTCGCATCTACATATTCACCCCACATACAAGCTTCTCCACCAATCACCAGATCTTTCTGCTCCGGGCTGCCTGTAAGGAAAAGACGTCCTGTTTAACCAATTAGGTTCTTACAAGGTCTCCTTCACTCCTGCAGTTACAGAAGCAATAAACAAAGCTACATGCAAAGTAAACGGAAAAATTAACAAAGTTGCTTGTGGGCAGTAGGACTTTAATTAATACACACGCTTCGAAATAAATATTCAGGCATTCAATAGTTGAAAAAGTTATTTTTCTGGAAGCAACTATGCTACTTTTCACTGAGCTGGCTGGCGTTTCTGGTCCAAAAAAACATAACGTTTCTAAGCTGTGCAATGAACTGAACTTCGTTATGGTTACAGGAAATCTTATGACGATGAATGTTTGTTGAGGGAAACAAGGCAACATTGAAGTGTAAAACTCCAGTCAACGGAACGGGACAAGCCAGCCACTTATGGCTCGGTGAATTTCCTCCCGAGTTCAATATAAACATTGCAACGTACAGGAAAAGAACACACTCAGAACGCAAGTGGAGGTGCCAAAATAACTCAAGCGCAACTCCTTTGGGAAGTCACATGGATTGTTAAGGCTGGAACATGGTTGCCCACTCTTTCTCAGCAGATGTTCCAGCTAGCCAAGTGGACCAGCCCTGTGACTCCTCCCAGCATTATGCTTCTAAGTCTTCCCGACAGCCTATTCCAATCTGTTGCCCTCCAGAATATCTTGAACTTCAGCATCCATTAGACCCAGCCGCCATGGCTGATTGTCAAGCATGCTGGGAACTGTAGTCCAAAATATCTGGAGGGCCAAGGGGCAGGCCCCCTATTATACCTAAACTTCAGCACGTGCAAGAGAAACAGGTGTATTTTCATCCCACCTCTTCTTCCACTGTTTCTCCTATGGCAAATTGTAATACTGTAAGCACCTTGGGGGAGGGATCTATGCATCTGAACTTTTGTAATATGTCATGCATGCTTAGCCTTCCCCCTGCCCACATTTTTAATCATGCCACTTAATTCAAACATGATTAATTCAAACACAATGATTAGCAAAGGTTAATTCCAAAGCTACAAGCTCCTGGCCACAAGGTTCTAGAACGAGGGGAAGGCAAATCAATAAGAAAGGCACACCTTCAAAAGCCAGAGGCTCCACCTGATAAATCGCCGTCCAATCCTGCCCGTAAGAGATACGGTTAAGATACCACGGAGCAGAGAGCAGGGCCCGGTAGCCAGCTTTGGTGACGTGGACGGTTTCTTCTTGATAAGGCCCAGCGTTCTCTTTCCACACATGGACGACGGTCTCGGGTTTCAACTGACCAGGAGAGAAAATGAACAGGAGATGGGAGTCTACAGAAGGGCCTTGCTTATAAGACAGCACCGTGGCAGTGGCTGATAATCCGATGGCTGTCCAGTTACCAGAAGCCATAATGGTTACGGCTGCAATCCTTCCCACGGCTTTGCTTCCTGTTGATCAGCAGCAGCATGTATGCACACATAGATATGCAGGTGTGAAGACTTTATACAAATGTAATGGGTCTAACCACTGTACATGTATGGTTGACGACTGGCTTCCATATTGTCTCGTCTGCAGAAATGAACAGTGGAGACTGTCCATTCCTGTGTTTTCCACTGTGTCTACAGTCAGCCAAGTTACTATATAAGGTAAGTGTCAGTCAGAATTCTGTGCGACTGGGCTAAACGGGAAACAGATAGGGACTGATCCCAGACAATATGAGATTAAGATAGGGCTAACAGGGTCCAAAAAACAAAAAATCACCACCCCACAACCTTCTGTATAAAGCAAAAAAGTTATAGTTGAACTTCTATCCTGAAAAGCACAGAAATTCAGAAAAAAAATATCAACTCATCACACTTAAAACACTGGCATACTGATGTTCTCTTTGCACCTTAACTTTTTCACCAAGTAAAGACAAGAGGCAAGTTTCGCTTTTTAGTTCCCTAAAGAATCAAAGCCTTTGTTTGCCTGGGACCAGACCCATTCAAGACAGCAAACTAAATCTACTGCTAGTCCTAGCTAGTGAAGACACATTGCATTAATTGCTGAATTGTGAACCAACAAGTAAACTTAAGATTAAGAGCCTATTCTATTCTAAGAGGATTTTGGTCCATGAGCATTCCTTCACCCAGATACAGGTCAACTGGACTACTAGTAAAAACTACGTAAGTATGGATGTGACTCTCTTGCAAATTTATTCTTGAGCTGTTGACAGTATTAAAGCCTGTGTTTCATTACAGCTCTTCCAGGCCACTAGTGATGCTCTCAATAGTCTGCGTTGATTAGTGAACGTATGTTGCAGTGTTTACTTAGGGAGGAAGTTAAGGTACAAAAGAGATCCACCATAGTTTGGCTCAAATTTTGAGGGGGAAATGGATGAGGCTTCTGGGTGTCAATGTGAGCTTCTGTAGCTTCTCCTACCTCCGCCACCCACCCACCCCAATAAAAAATAAAAGACTAATCACTAGCTGGGATGGTATGAAAAACAGTGAACAGAAGAGAAGATGAAACAGGTCAGATTTACTGAAGAGTGAGGAAAGCACAGGAAGCAGCAAATCAACATGCAGTATCAAAAGTCTCCCACATCTCCCTGCTAGTAGAAAACTAGTATACCAGGAGAACTGACATACCCTTACCTCCTGTTTTATGTACTTCCTTTCTACACGTAGGCTCTTTCTCTTTTAAAAATCAAATTAAAAATACAGTGGTGCCTCGCTTAACGAGCGCACCGTTTAATGATGAATCCGCATAGCGATCTGTTTTTTCAGATCGCTAATGCGATCGCATTGCGATGTTTGAATAGGGCAAACATCGGAGAACTGACATACCCTTACCTCCTGTTTTATGTACTTCCTTTCTACACGTAGGCTCTTTCTCTTTTTAAAATCAAATTAAAAATACGAGTCCCCCTTTGATTACCAACGGTGCTCAACACCTTTTTTTTCCTTGCTGACATTTCACTGGACATTGCTTATGTGCTCTCCTCTGGAACCACGAGGATTAGAAACTTGTTTTCCTTCTAATTTTCAAAAATTTCTAAAACGACCCCTGGTGATACTCGAGCTCTTTGCTCCAAATGACACCACACGCCGGATGCCCAAAATGGTTTTCGCGCTTACCGAGGGCGCGAAAATGGCGCTATGGAGAAACTTCGCAGAACGGTGAGTTTAGGAGCCATAGGAACGCATTAAACTAAGTTTAATGCATTTCTATGGCGTTTTCGGTTCTGTATAGCGATGTTTCCCCATAGCGACGGTTAATCCGGAACGGATTAACCTCGCTATGCGGGGCACCACTGTACGAGTCCCACTTTGATTACCAACGGTGCTCAACACCTTTTTTTTCCTTGCTGACATTTCACTGGACATTGCTTATGTGCTCTCCTCTGGAACCACGAGGATTAGAAACTTGTTTTCCTTCTAATTTTCAAAAATTTCTAAAACATAACGACCCCTGGTGATGCTCGAGCTCTTTGCTCCAAATGACACCACATTTCTAAAGTGCTCCCTGCATGGTGTACAAGGAAAACTTCAACATATACCAAAAGGATAAATAGGTAGCCAATGGAACAATCATGGGATAAAGCAGAGCTGGGACATCTTTCGCTGTCCAAATGTTTGTGACTACAACTCCCATAACTCACTTATGACTGGCCATGCTGGCTGGGCCTTTGGGAGTGAAATCCCAAAATGTCTAGAGGCCACATGTTCCCTGCCGGTGATATAATGCAAACCATGAGGGTGAGGTCAAAAGCCAACCCAAAGAGGCAAGATTCAGCAAACTGCAGTTTGCAGAGACACTCTTGGCTCAGCCCTACGGGTGGGATGGGTAGAATACGGAGAAGAAACGCAGTATTACAGCCTGTTGACATCCTGGATTGAGGGCTTTCCATCGCTCAGCTGCTGGTTCACGGACAGAGAGCGAAGAGGGAGAAAAGGAAGGACAGGATTTAAGAAGGATTTCTATCCTGCCACCCATGAAGTAGTCCCAGAAATTTGGGGGAAGTAAGAAACAGCGTGAAAAATTGAGACCGTGCAGTGCAGTGGTTACAGGTTATCCTCGCGCATGGTATACTTGGATTCTAGCCTCTATACTGCCACTGGCTGATCTCTGACCAGTGCCTCTCCTTCAGCTTGGCCTACCTCGCAGGCCTGTCGCAAGAAACAGGAGGAGGAGAGCTGTGTGTGCCTGCTACCTAGATCTCACTAGACGTGTAACTGATAGGAAAATAAACACATCTCGTGAGAGATGTCCTCACCTTCACTCCGTTATCAAACACTTCCTGCCAGACCACGTAACCCTTTCCATAGGAAGAGACTATATCCAGCAGCCTGGAGTGAAGAGAAGAACGGCTAAGGGTGAGGAGGAGGAGGAGGAGGAGGCCTTTCCCATCCCTCCCAGCTTTCCTGCTCAGTGGAAAATATACGTCGGTTTTCTCACTCCTCCCAGAGACAACTAAGAACCGTTCTGCCATGAGAGACAAGAGGAGGTTTTGTGGGAGCCTCGTGGAGGACCACGGCGTCTGAGGTACGGCCTGACTCAAGTTCAGCAGGGTGTGCTCCCTCAGAACGCGGCGGATCCCACAAGGGTGGTCAACTCTGAATAAGGATGTTGGCCAAGTTTTTAGGTCCAAGGCTTAAATCCGAGTCTGGGGTCCCAAGTCCCTATTAAACACAAGCTTTTTTCCCCCACAGAAGGGGGGAAAAAGAGGGTGGGGAGGGACGGGTGGTTCTGAGTTGAGTTCAAGTCCTTTAGAAAAGAAAACCCGAGTCAAGTCAGAGGTGAATCGCTATTTACTAAAGAACTGTTTTTGTTTTTAATGTGTCATCAAAGCCGCATCTGATTTGACTTACTGCAACTCAAAACAGGTTTTTCATGGTATGTGAGATACTTAAAGAGTGGTTTTACTTGTTCCATGTCACCCCGTACTAATGAGTTTCCATGGCTGAGCAGGGCTGTTTTATTTATGAAAAGTGTGTTCCCTTGGGACTTCTAGTCTAGGGGTGGGAATCCTATGGCCCTCCAGCGACCCAAATGTGAACACTCCACATCCAAGGGGACCTCAACACCCCCCTCAAAAAAAGAAAAGATTTTAAAAAAATTTTGAAAATAAATTCAAGTCAAAAAGTTTCCTTGTGGTCTCTGGAGGGGAATTCTGCCAAATGTTGATGGAACTCCCAATCCTCAAATTTATTTTTTTAATTAAAAATTTGGCCACTAGAGGGCATCATGGGGCATTTTACTTTAAAAAAAAAAACATTTCTTTTAATAGCAAAGAATTTCAAAAAGGGATGGTGGGAGCAGGTATGGCCCTAAAGAGATTGGTGTTTGCAGCCCCCTGATCTCTGGAGATTGCTCATTTTAGTTCTAGAGATTTGATGCTCTTATATATTTTTGCAATGAATACAAAACAGGAGGGTTCTAAAGACTGTATGCTACAGAGAGAAGGTACACCAACATGCAAACAAAATTGGCATTTCTTGGTGCCTTAGAGTGGAGAATCCCTTTTCCTTCAAGATGCTTTAGATTTCAGCTTCCAAATATCCCAGCCAGCATGCCTATGGTGAGGGATTCTAATGTAAAACATCTGGAGTGCCAAAGGTTCCATACCTTTAAAGATAAATCTCTTTGAGATTTAAAGAGCTGGTGGGAGAATAAACAACTCTGGAAATTAACTGGTTTCTTTCTTTCTTTCTTTCTTTCTTTCTTTCTTTCTTTCTTTCTTTCTTTCTTTCTTTCTTTCTTTCTTTCTTTCTTTCTTTCTTTCTTTCTTTCTTTCTTTCTTTCTTTCTTTCTTTATCTATCTATCTATCTATCTACAACCCTAATATAATATACTGTAATATACTACAATATGATATAATACAATATAATACAAGGAACAGGCCACATTTCCTTGGTTAGGCTAAAATAAGAGAAAACCCTTTGGCATAAGTCATTTATCAGTAGCCAGCCATCCAACTCTTGGGGCTTTAATACAGAGAGCACTGCCTGGGGGGGATGGAAGTTTTCTGATGTTTCAAGGTAATATAATATACTGTAATATACTACAATATGATATAATACAATATAATACAAGGAACAGGCCACATTTCCTTGGTTAGGCTAAAATAAGAGAAAACCCTTTGGCATAAGTCATTTATCAGTAGCCAGCCATCCAACTCTTGGGGCTTTAATACAGAGAGCACTGCCTGGGGGGGATGGAAGTTTTCTGATGTTTCAAGGTAGCTCTTCAGTCAGCTGGGGATCGTGGGCATTGTAGTCCAGAGATACGTAAGGGACCCAGTTGGGGAAGACCAGCCTACACATCGACCCCAAACAAGCTTATGCAAGTGCTTTTTTTCCCCCCTTTTACCTCTGGATGTAGAAGGACTCCAGTTTGGTGTAGTCTTTGCCAAACCCCATTTTCATCATGAACGCCTGGATCTCTGGGTTAGACTTCCTGCATAGGAGAGATCCAAGCCAGATCTAAGGAGAAGTAGAGTCTGCCTCCCACCCAAGGCTCCAATGTCCTGGCCCACACACAGATAATCTATATGCCATTATCATGAATTACACAAAGCAGAATCCCTGACATTAGGCCTTTAAAGAAGAACATGACTCTGGCCTTCAAAGTTACAGGGTGAAAGCTGAAAGACAGGGACCAAGTCACGTCTATTTGTCACTGAAAGATAGTAGCCACTATCCTGTTGACAATTTACATTGTGAAATCACGTTAAGCCGTAGTGAAGAATTGCCACAACTTAAGGGGGCATTGCTAACATTCCTGGTCGTGAGCCCGGTGGTGCAATGGGCACACAACCAGGAACTTGGACTGACATTTCATTAATTAGCAGCAATTCACTTCCACATGTGTAAATTGCCAGTAGGATTCTGGCTGATAACACTGATTAGAGTTTTCTGAACTTCTGAGGATGGGGAGGATTTATTTCCTTTCTTTTTAAAAGATTCCTTATCTCTCATCCAAAGCACTGGACATTTTTGGAATTTTTTTCCCCAATCCAAACAAAGAGAAACTTTTCCAAGCTCTGATTTTGCTTCCCTGCCAATATTAACTAACTTCCTGCCCTCCCATGGGCTGTTGGGAGTTTCCCTCCCCACATATTCCCCATTTCCCCACCCCAAAATCCCTCCACGAGACCAAGACCAACCAACACGTGAAGTCGACCTCATCACCTCCCAGGTGGACGTAGAAATCTGGGAACACCACACTCACTTCCCCAAAGAACTTGGTCATGAACTGGTAGGTTGTATTGAGGATCGGATTGACTGGCCCGTAGGTTCCGGCGGGCTTTGGGCCGGCATAGCAAGGAGTCAGCAAGCCTGGGGTACCTGAAATCGAGACACAAACCGATGCACAAAAAAAAGAGGCAGTCGTAGGGTTAAGCTCAAGGAAAAATGGGACCAGCAAACCAACCAAGAGGACAGACAGTGGCACGAGAGAAGCCACATACAGCCCACACTCTCTCGGTCATTGTGAGTGTACCCGGATCCTTACCTGGACCCCAAGACCGAGTATGGCCCGGGGTGTCAAATTCAGAAATCACTCTGATCCCACGAAGCCGGGCGTGCTCGATCACCCTCTTGACGTCACTCGGGGTGTACACGTGGGTGGCGGAGTTGTAAGCACCCTGGGAAAGGCATAATGACGTAGGTGTCTACTCGATGGTAACCAAGGATGGGGACTCAAGTCGTGGGACACACTGAAAAGTCATACTTAAGTCACACTGGGACTCAGTGTGGGACTCAGCATCTACCTAGTCCTCCCTTTTTTCCTGGGGAACAAAAGCTTATTTTTAATAGGGACTTGGACTTGGGACCAAAGACCGAGACTTGGGACTTGGACGCAAAGACTTGCCAGCATCCCTGTGCCCGGATTATATTACCAACAAGGTAAGAGTCAAAAGTGTCTGCTTAGAAGGCAAGGGTGGAAAGCCTCTTTCAACTTGACAGCCAAAGCCAGTTTCAGAGAAGACCTCAGAGGGTGGGGCGTTGCATTCCAGTGACCTCCCTGCTTTCCTACAAAGATGCTGGACTGAATCTAGGTGGGGAAACTGCACACTGATGTTCTTGGGAACGGCATTCCAGAAGTGGGTGGCTCCAAAGATAAAGGAGGGCAGGGCGTCACATTCCAGTGACCGGCAGGGCAAGCTCCCTGCTTTCCTACAAAGATGCTGGACTGAATCTAGGTGGGGAAACTGCACACTGATGTTCTTGGGAACGGCATTCCAGAAGTGGGTGGCTCCAAAGATAAAATGCTAAGGCTAGAAATACCAGCATATTTTATGTTGGTATGTCTGTTTTAAGCTAGGATGCTTTTCCAGCCAGTAGGGAAAGCCTCAGGAGAGGAATTTCAGATTGTCAGAAGGGGGAAGCTCTGTTGAAAAGCTGGTTCTGGGGAACGGGGCATGGCTGGGAGCCCAGGAGGGCTGGATTCGGCTCCAGGGCGTGAGGTTCTTCACCTTTCTATATAGGCAACACTCACATTTAACAAAAAAAATCTTCATCAAGGAATATTTGATTAAGACAGACAGTAGATCAACTGAAGTAGTAGCTGGATAGGATTTATAGTAGCAACATATAACTGGCATGCAGCTCCCAGCGACCTTCCTAGAGATCAGGCAGAGCACATTGGCTTCTGCTACATATGCACGGCATGTCTAACATGGCAGGATGGATGCGCGCATGGCCCTGTGGCTCCAATCAAGATTAAAGCATTGCACTGGAGCTTGGAGGCCAAATCCACAAGGCTCACAGGTCCAAAATGCTTTGGATTATACCTAGCGCCAAGGACCCCTTCCTAGAAAGAGCTGTGTGTGAGTGTGTGTGTGTGTGTGTGTCTGAGGGGTGGGAGGTAAGACTTACCTTCCCGCTGAGCTCTGGGAACACCATGCTCTCATACGGAAAGGAGGGATCATCCACAATGTGCCAATGGAACACATTGAGCTTGTTGTACGCCATGGCATCCTGGGGAACGAGAGAGAAGGGTTCAGGTTAAAGTCAACTTTCCCCATAGTCATGAGAAACTCATCAGCAACAATTGCTGGGAAAAGATGTCAGTTCGCAGTGTTCAGCTAGAGGGTCTAAAAAATCAAGCTATGTTCAGCCAGCCTTCTGCATGATGAAACGCAAGGTGTCTTCCCCACCTACTAAACCATGCCCTTGATTATCCTTCTGCACTGCAACTCGGTGTTCCAGACAGAGAGAAAGAGAGAGAGAAAGAGAGAATTTTTATCCCTGTGTTTGTGTCTGAGAGACAGAAAAAAGAGATGAGGAGGAGAAGGGCATTATGCATCTGTGTATGTGAAATGCATTTCTTCTCTTTTCTTTTCTATGCCACCTTTCTCCCCACAGGGCACCCACTTTCCCCACAGTCATGAGAAACTCATCAGCAACCATTGCTGGGAAAAGATGTCAGTTCTCAGTGTTCAGCTAGAGGATCTAAAAAAATCAGGCTATGTTCAGCCAGCCTTTTGCATGATGAAATGCAAGGTGTCTTCCCCACCTATATAACCATGCCTTTGATTAACCTTCTGCACTGCAACTGGGTGTTTCAGAGAAAGAAAGATAGCAGTCATGAGAAACTCATCAGCAACCATTGCTGGGAAAAGATGTCAGTTCTCAGTGTTCAGCTAGAGGATCTAAAAAAATCAGGCTATGTTCAGCCAGCCTTTTGCATGATGAAATGCAAGGTGTCTTCCCCACCTATATAACCATGCCTTTGATTAACCTTCTGCACTGCAACTGGGTGTTTCAGAGAAAGAAAGATAGACGGATAGTGTGTGCGTGTTTATCCCTTTGTGTGTGTCTGACAGAGAGAAAAAAGAGAGGAAGAGGAGAGAGAAAGGAGGGCATTATGCATCTGTGTATGTGAGAAATTCATTTCTTTTCTTTTCTCTTTTCTTTTCAGTGACACCTTTCTCCCCATAGGGCACCCAAGGCGGCTCATAAAAAATGAAAGCCATGCAACAACCACACATTTTTAAATGCCATGAAAAACTATACTAAAAAGCAATGAAATGTTTATCCATATTAACACCGCAAACCAAACACAATTTTTTAAACATTAAAAAATATATATCTCCCAGTCCAATTATCCCGGCATGCCTGAGGCTCCAACCCACCTTCCTTATTGCTTAAAAGCCTATGGAACAGCTGTGCCACTGAACAGCCAAACTGCCCTGAACCACAATTTGTGCCCATCTTTATTCCCCACCCTTGGTTTCGATTCCCCCTCTGTTCCAGGCTCAGGCGTCCTGCAGTGTAGATGGCAACTCAAAAGGCACCACCCAATCCCCAAGGTGAGAGAAGTGCCCTGAGATAGATTTCCATACCAGCGTCTCCAGAATGGCTTTCAAAGGCAGGTAATGACGAGACGTGTCAAGCAGCAGACCTCGGTGAGGAAACCGGGGGAAGTCGACCACATCCGTCTTGTTTATATTCAGCTAGGCAGGAGACAAAGACAAAGTGGGATCAGGAGAGAGATGAGCCGTGTGGTGGTCCTCAAACCTGGGCCACCCAGATCTCTTGGACTCCAACTCCCAGAAGCCCCAGCCAGCAAAGCGATCCCGGGAGTCAAAGTCCAAAACCTCTGGAGGGCTAAAGACTGAGAACGGCTATAAGAACAGGTTAAACGACATGGACATTTGAAGCCTACAAGAACCTTCAATAGTGGGAGGCTTGAAGTTGGCGTCCTGATTTAGTAAGAGATGTCAAAGCCAAACACAACCATGCCATGTTTCGGATGATACAGTGTTTACGCTGGTGAAGTCTTCCCAAAATTTGCTTTCCTCCATAAGACAGTCTACATCCGCATACCTTAAAAGCAGCTGTGGAACTGCACAGAAGCCCTTGAGAGCTCCTAAACCACACGGTCACAGTCTTTCCACCCCAACCTAGGCAATGTTCACCCCACGAGATAATACCCTGTTTCATCGAAAATAAGACCTAGCCTGAAAATAAGCCCTAGTATGATTTTTCAGGATGCTCGTCATACAAGCCCTACCCCAAAAATAAGCCCCTGTTAAGTGAAACCCTGCCCTCCACCCTTGTGCAGCAACCAGAAGAAGATGACATGCCTGTATTTGAATAAATGTAGATTGTTGTACATGAAAAATAAAAAAATAAAACATCCCCTGAAAATAAGCCCTAAAGCTTTTTTTGGAGCAAAATTTAATATACGACCCCGCCTTATTTTCAGGGAAACACGGTATATGAGGGCTCTCACTGATCCCACAGTGCAACACCAACGCACCCACGTGTGTCTGTCAACGGTAGTGTAGCAGAGCAGGAATTCAAGATTTTTGCTTAGCAGGGAAAGTAACATCCTTGCTCACAGACCAGACCCTCCTCATTCCTATCTGCAGGATATCTGCCACTTGAATTTTTTTCGGACAACAACTCCCACAATCTTTTATCATTGGCAATACAGGCTGGGGGTTCTGGGAGTTGTAGTCCAAACCATCTGGGGGGTTTCCAGAGGTTCGCCACCCTTACTACCTGAACTTTGTTGAAATCCTCACGACAGTGACTGGATTTCCCAACAACAGTTGCATCATTATAACATACTCTTCCTGTACTCTAACGTGTGTTGGGGTCGCTTGGTCTTGAATGGGCAATGAAGATCCCTTAGCTTTACAAAAGAACTGTTCCTCAAGGAGACCACAACTGACCAAAGCGATCTGTGTGTGGCTGTGGAGACAGTCAAGGTCACCACCTACGCTTTAAATTTTTCTCTGCACATACTCACTGCCCCAACGTCATCTCTCCAGGCGAGCTGACTGAAGGTCTCTAACCCTGTAGAACAAGTCAGAATCCCACTCAGTGAAAGAAGAAACAATAAGCAAACATGGATGCACAGTCAGAAGTAGGAGAAACAACTCAGACGAATCCGCCTTACCCCGGAGAGCTCCCCAGACGGTATCCGCCACCAGCCACATCCGCTCATCCGACACAGACAGCTTATCTAAAAGAGCACAGTACAAAAAAAGGAGTGGAAATTATTTATATTATGTATTTATTTAAAATATGTTTACTCTGCCTTTCTCCTTAAAAAGGACCCAAGGTGGTTTACATCACTGAAAGACAATATTTAAAGCTGAAAACAATGAGTATAAAAAGGCAGCTTACATCATTAGAAAAAACCATATGTAAAGCTAAAAACAATATGTATTAAAAAGAAACAGATACCAGTCTGAGAAATGGTAAACACAAGCAATACTAAAAACACAGTCAAAGCAGTAATGCATAACCATCCATCTAAAAATCCCCCTCAGGCAGCCAGTCACCGAGGGAAAGCCTGCCTGAAGAGAAAGGGCTTTTATCTGCTTGCGGAAGGACAGCAAAGATGGGGCCAGCTGGGCCTCCAGTGGGAGGGAGTTCCAGAGTCTGGGAGCAGCCAAAGAGAAGGCCCTCTCCCGTGTTCCCACCAAATGCATCTGTGAAAGTGGCAGGAAGGAAAGAAAGGCCTCTCTGGACAATCTTAACACCTGAGCAGTGGGAGACACAATCTTTAAGCTAGCTGGGGTCCCAAAATGTTTAAGCCTTTATGGGTTAAAACCAGCACTTTGAATTGTGCCCAGAAATAGGACAATTAAATCAGGAGATTTAATTGCAATACATCTTAGGTCAACTGGTCTGGATTGTTTAATCTACAATTTAGGCTACAAAAAGGTTACTAATAGGATGTTAGCATATGTGCTCATCCATGCTGGCTGTGCAGGGTGGGAATGCCCTCCTCTTCCACGGCAAATTTTTTAAAAAATGGCCCCATGCTTCTGAATTTGACTTCCCCTTTGCTTTTTTTTACTAACCTGGAGGAGGGCCAGACTGGTTTGCTTTACATACACACCCCTATCAGCCAGCCTGCATTAATTCTATATTGATTGCAAAGCTGAAGACTCTCGTGGTTGTTGTGGGTTTTTCGGGTGCTTTGGCTGTGTTCTCAAGGTTGTTCTTCCGTTGGTTGCAAAGCTGAAGACTCTCATGGTTGTTGTGGGTTTTTTGGGTGCTTTGGCTGTGTTCTGAAGGTTGTTCTTCCTAATATTTCGCCAGTCTCTGTGGCCGGCATCTTCAGAGCACAGGAGTAGCACTCTGTGCTCTGGTGTAGTTTGTTTGGGAGTGAGTATTCATGGCTGTGGGGATCAGCTTTTGTCCTTTTCGGGAGAGGGGGTGATTATGGTGATCAGTGTGTTTTTGTTGTGAGTGTATTGTTGTGATAATATCTGTCACTGTGATTGATATGTGTCATTAGCTGATCTTTTGTGTGTAGTGATCACTGGTCCTTGTGGCTAGGAACAGTTCGGTGACCTATTGCACGCTGTATTTTTCAGTGCTGGGAACCACAACAACCATTAGATCCCAGCCATGAAAGCCTTCGCGAACACACTGAAGACTCTCTTTTCTCGGCCACTAGCCTATTCGTAGCCCCCTCCCCAAAGGAAAGGTTTCCCAACTCTCCTTTTTGGCCACTAGCCCCCTCCCCAAAGGAAAGGTTTCCCATCTCTGGATTGCAGCCCACCCAGCATTCAAACCGGGATGCCCACTCAAAGCTTGTCTGAAGAGGGTCCCGCTGCTCCAAACACCACACGCACCCCTGAGTCACCCCTCAGTGGGGGAAGCGCACTGCCTTCTCTTACAGTTCTCGCGGGAGTTCAGGGAAGGGTAACCATCGCAGTCCGGCTCGGTGACGGAGACGAGAAGCTCGGCGCATGAAGGGCCGTTCGGGTGCCCGTTCTCTGCAAAGAGAAAAGTGAACATTAGGAAGAGACACAAAATGGACCAAGGGAGCCCTCATCCAAAACAGAAGTGCTCCTCTCCTCACCACGGCGCTTCCACCCCTCAGTTCTGTTCATCCCACAGTTCACCTTCACAGGGGTTGTTGTGCTCTTTAAAGAACACAATAACCAGGGACCTTCCTGCCCCCCCCAAATCCTCCATCCCACGGTTTCTTGATCTTTTCCATTCCAAATATTTGGTGAGGGCTGGTGGTTTAAGGAGAGGTGGGCTATTCGTATTCGAATATGAATTGCGGCAGCACAGCTGGAGGGGTCAGCTGCACAGGGAGGTGGGGAAGTGCAGTCCGGATGGGCGTGATGATGAGGAGGACAATGCCGCTGTCTGTCTGTCTGTCTCTCTCTCTGTCTGTCTGTCTGTCTGTCTGTATATCTATCTATATCACCATCATCGATCGATCGATCGATCGATCGATCGATCGATCTATCGATCTATCTATCGATCTATCTATCGATCTATCTATCTATCTATCTAGAGCTTATATGCCGCCCATTTAGACATAGTCTACTCTGGGCAGTTCACAAAACACAGAATAAAAATAATTAATATAAAACAACAATTTACAACATTTACCCAAAACAAAGTAGATAAAGATAGAGAAAAAGAGAAAGTTACGTAGTGCCCGGAGGGAAGGCCTGTCTATATAACCAGGTCTTGAGCTGGTTTTTGAAAGTGCCCACTGAGGGGGCCAGACGAATCTCGGGGGGGGGGGAGAGAGCGTGTTCCAGAGCCTGGGAGCCACCGCGGAGAAGGCCCGGTGCCTTGGTTTTTTTTTCCGCACCACAATTCAAAGGCATCAATTCTTCGGCGGTCTGCTTTCTTTATGGTCCAGCTCTCACATCCATACATCACGACAGGAAAAACCATAGCTTTGACTCCTGGCTAGATTGGGTGATACGAGTAGATCTAGGCGGGAGGAGGCGTTCCGCCAAGTATTGAGGTCCCAAACCATTCCCAGGGATACTGGAGGCGAGTCTAATAAGGCAGTAAGTCAGAATTGACTTGTTGGCACATGATCATTATTATAAAACGAGAACTGCAAAGAACAAGGCAAGAAAGACGTTTGACAGCAAAGATGTTCCATCTCACAGAAGTGAAGGGAAACATCTCTTTGCTACCATTAATTCTGCAACGGAAGACAGTCCAGTCACTTGATGTGCATCCCTTTCTTATTAGCCATACAAACTCATTACCGGACTTCGGTTTCAAAAAAAAAAAAATCCCTCACAGCTGTGATGTCTGCAGCTACAGTAGAGCAATCCAAATCACGCTGCTCAAGGTTATAATTTTGCAATTAGCAGGAAGCCATTCACAACAACAGTTGTATATGCAATCATGGGCTGCATTCAAAGAGATAAACCCTTGCTTATCTGTTATGTCTATTTATTAAATTCAGCTTCCCATACATATATTCAGCAACCATTACCAACACAGCTTCACGCATGTGTGTGTGTGTATGGGGGGGATGTAAGCCTAAGAAAATGCCTACGGCACCGAAAAGGTCACAGACTCCTGCTCTACAGACCCACATGGGAAAATCACTGCTGGATAGCTCAGTGGTTTAGGCATCTGGCTATGGATCCAGAGGCTGGGAGTTCAATTCTTCACTGTATCTCCCTGGCAGGGGCTGGACTCAATGATCCACAGGGCTCCTTCCAGCTCTGCAGTTCTGAAATGATGATGATGATGATGCTGATTATAGAGCATACCCATGCCCAAAGACTCTAAAAGTCAACATCTTCCAAAACAAAGGCACAGCCCACCTGTCCCCCTAGCCTGTATTTCCCTCCATGACCTCCAGGCAAAGAAATGAGTAAGCTTTCATGAAAGGAAGGGCAGAATCAGACTCTGAAAAGTCACTTTTCTAAACCAGCCAGGAGAAACAGGTTTCTCAGCCTCTGGGCGGAATAGCAACAGACCTCCACTGGTGTCACCAAGATTGCAACGTCAGACAAAAGGCTGCAAAGTCTCTCTGTGTATCTAACAGGGCAAGAAAGCTGTGAACTTATGATCTGAGAAGGGTGGAATGAGGAACGACAAATAAGCTTAGCTGAAGCCTTGTCACTGAACCTCCCTGGTGCAGCCTTTGTCCTTTGCTGTTCCTCCAGTATCTGTAAACACTTTGCAGGCAAAGATCTACCTAGTTTTGCCTACACAGCTGCGCAAAGTGCCAAGGCCACTTATAAGGTCATAGACATTATATCCGTTTTTCTTGTTTTCCCGCTGCAGACAGCAGCCGAAAGCGTGTGGAAGTTATATTTTTCTTTGGACTACAACTCCCCAAATTCCACTGTCAGCATGACAGCCTGAAGAAGGTTACTCTGCTAAGCTGTGCAACAAGTGTTGCTTGAAAGGACTAATAAAGACATTTCACAACAACCTTGGGCTGGTCTCACCGGAAGTGCTTTGCAAACCAAGGGAAATTTTGAACAGACTTTTTAACCCTCTGTGCACATTTACCCAGAAGCCCCACTTCTGTCACGGAGTGGGGCTTATTCCTAATGAAATGTGTACAGCATTGCACTCATGCGGCACCGCCCCATATCTGCCTATTCCAGTGTAAGTATCTTTGCAGCCCTGATTCAGCCACTGTGATCGGTGCAAACCTACATCTATTTATTAGCTGCATTTATAACCTGACCTTTCTCTAGTAAATTCCACATATCACTTTCCTCTGCTCCACTTGGTCACTCTCAGATGCCCTGAAGCATCTTGAGAACAAGCAGGTTTGAGTTAGTGTAAAGTTTCATGAACTGTTCATCACATGTGCAGAGGGTTGTCTTAGTTGCATGGATCCACATCCATGTTTGGCAGGAGAGGGCCACAGAAGAACAGAAATGAAGAAGGTACAAACATTTATCTTAAGCGTGGTCATTTAGCCAACCATATCCGGGAGATGGGAAGGGCAGCCTAGTATAGATAAGCAGATTCATGCAGGTATTATATTAGAAAGCCATAGTCCAAACATGTAGGAGATAAAGAGTTCAAGCTTTAGATGAGCGGTTTCCAACCTTGGGTAACCCAGGGGTTCTTGGACCGCAATTCCCAGAAACCTCGGCCACCATGGTTGGTGCTAAAGGCTTCTGGGAACTGCAGTCCAAGAACACCTGGGTTAACCCAAGGTTGGGAACCACTACTCTAGGTGAATGTAAGTGATGGTCATTTTTCGCCAACCATGTTCAAGAGATGGGAAAGGCAGCCTAGTATACATAAGCAGATTCGTGCAGGTATTATATTATAAAGCCATAGTCCAAATATGTAGGAGATAAAGAGTTCAGGCTTTAGATGAGTGGTACCCAACCTTGGGTAACCCAGGGGTTCTTGGACCGCAGTTCCCAGAAACCTCGGCCACCATGGTTGGTGCTAAAGGCTTTTGGGAACTGCAGTCCAAGAACACCTGGGTTAACCCAAGGTTGGGAACCACTACTCTAGGTGAATGTAAGTGAATGTCACCTACGACTTGAATTCTTTATCGCTTATATTTCATTTGGGTTATGAGTTTAGCAATCAGGAGTAATCAGAAGGCATAGAAATACAGCACAACATAGAAATACAACCTATGAAATTCTAGTAGAAGAACTGAAAGCCCTGACAGAATTGTTGTAAATTGCAGGCAGATAACCTGCAAAGACGTGTAGGATAACCACATTAAACTACTGTACTTTATACCAATGGAGATTAAACCATCCAGGCCAAACCTTCATACAGGTGGGTGGGGGACTGGTAAAACTACTCCTTAAATAAAGTATCTCACTTAAATTGAAAGCCCTGACAGAGTAGTTGTAAGTTGGTTCCGACTTGCAGGTAGATAACCTGCAAAGACATGCAGGACAATGTACATTAAACTACTTTATACCAATGGAAATTAAACCATCCAGGCCAAACCTTCATACAGAAACGCTCAGCACCTAACAGGGACGCCCCCACCCCAAATAAAGAACAAAAAAAGGAAAGGAAAAGAAAAAAAGGAAGAGGTGCAACTTTTGAGTACGTGTAGAAGGAATTTGCTTCATCACTTCTCCATTCTGGATTCCAAAGCGGAGGAAGCAGCGATGATGACATTTCCATGTGGGAGGGGAGCATCTATCTATCTATCTATCTATCTATCTATCTATCTATCTATCTATCTATCTATCTATCTATCTATCTATCTATCTATCTATC